TTTTGCTTGCATCCAGCAAAGCACTCAACAATTCAGTCCAAGAAGACTTCTCTCATTATTCAAAATGCTTGTGACAAACAATTCAAACATTTCCTTGACAATTCTAAGTTTAAAATATAGTTATTAATTTTCTTTAAAAAAGGGGTGTTTTATGGGTTTTCATATTTAAAAGCTATCATGCCATTTCCCCGATATTTTAGAAGGTAAGATCCTTGTGCCCAGTGTAGTAGACAATTGCTCCTATTGACAAAAAGCCCTTCAACTTTTGTATTGTTCCCTGGCTTTGGGGGGTGGGTAATGGAGGGCTATCTTTTTTCAGAGAAGAGAAAGAACCTTAATGATTTGTTTTTGCCTCAAAGACCTTTCTAAAATGGGTTACTGCCATGCCAAAAAAAGACAGCAATTGGCAGCTGCTTTTGATTAATTTGGCAAACAATCCCAATATTGTCAAAAGGGGTCCTTCTAAAGAAGACAAGAGGTGAACACTCTGCTTTCACTTACGAACAAGTACAAGAATCTAAGTGCACAGAAGAATCTCTGGGTGGCCCTTAGTTCTCTTTGCTGCTCTAACAGAAATACCCCAAGTTATGGCTTTCACAGCCAGAAATGTATCCTTTCATAGTTTGTTGTTGTTGTTAAGGGTTGAGTCAGTTCCTACTCTTAATGGTCTTGTATAGGGTTTCCGAGGAGCAACTGGTGGGTTTGAACTGCTCGCCTTGAGGTTCACAGTCCAGTGCTGATACTACAGTGCACCAGGAGTCTATAACATAAATACTGCAGTGAATGGATTTCACAACCAGAAGTTTATTCTTTAACAGTTTAGAAGAGTCCTGGTGTGGTGCTGTGGGATCAGCACTGGACTGCAAGGTCAGGTTGAACCACAAGGTTGGTGGTTTAAACTCACCAGCTGTTCCTTGGAAACTCTACAAGGTCTCTAAGAATCTAAACCAACTCCAGGGCACTTAACAACAACAAAAGTTTAGAAGGCTAGCATTCCAAATTCAGAGTGCTGGCTTTAGGGGAAGACTATCTCTTCCTTGGCTCTGGGGAAAAGTTGTTGTCTCCTTTTAGCCTCTCTGTAGGCCTAGATTCCTTGAAGACCTTCATAGGTCTTGGCATCAATTTTCCTCTAGATTTAGGAGCTTCAGAGTACAGGGACCCCAAAGGATACATTCTATTCCTGGCTCTTCTATCTTAGTGGCAGTAGGTTCCTCTGAGCTCTGCTCACTTCTCCCTTCTTTTATCTCTCAAAGGAGATTGACTCAAGACATAACCTAATCCTGTAGATTGCATTTGGCCTCAGTAATATCATAGAAGTGAGGATTTACAATATCAGATCAAGACAAGAAAGAAGGAAAAGGTCAAAATGGATGTCA